AACACCCCCAGCCGGACTCGAACCGTGACAGTGCAGCACGTGAGCTAGACACGTTAATCACTCGGCCACACTGCCACGAGTACCCTATCAAAACAGGGCAGATGTGAAATTCAAAGAAGGCTATGCATTTTCCCACCTCACATTTAGTGGTGGGGTGTAGCTCATATTCTTCATGAGAATAAGGCCATGTGAAATTCAATTGGATACGTCAGCTCAACTCATATGATTGTGGCAAAATTGTACTACGAGTCCTTCATAACCTTAAACGAAATTGGGTGAATACATTTCATATAAACTATTTGTTGGTAGTCTCGTAACTCAACTAATATACGAAAAATGCGATGACTAGTCTTTACGAGTTCGTTGAATTTAGCTCATTCTTGCCTCCCAGAAAAAGGATTGCAGTTTCCACCTCGCACCCCCAGCGGGGCTCGAACCTGGGCTTTGACAGTGTAGCGTATAGTCTCGACACATCACCTACTACAGCACACTGCAGCAGGGCAGACGTGTACTTGAAGGCGAGCCAGTCCTTTCTTATTTTACATTGTTTGTTGATGCAGAAAACATCCTTAAATTGACCACACTACTTATATTCCTAATGAGTAGGATTCGAAAGTAACAGTAAATATTTAATACTCATTTAGCGGTTTGTCTCTCAATTGGCACGATGGGTCAAAGTTGACTTTTACTTTCGCTCAAAACGAGGGAGCATGTCTCGTAGACTGCGTAGACCTGATTGTCGAATTAAAGCCGAACTGTGGCAGAACAGCGGAAATCAGCCGCCGTCGTCCGGTGAGATCATACACACTTTCACTCTTTTCTTAGTCAAGAATGGCATATCATTTCGAAAAACGCAAACAAATGTCAAATCTTTAAAGTGTCAAACTTTTGGCCCACGACAATTGCACACACAGTCTGTACTTGTCGTCCAAAATTCACATGACTAGAGTGAGAGAGAGAGAGATAGACAGAGATCTGGAAGCACCTTCCAGATCGGATGAAGACTTTCACGCGACTGGGAATGATTGAAATGTCCTCTTGAAACTAGCCTACAGTTCGGCAGAGTGTGATGTGAATAGGGCGGATGGGATGAAGCGGGAATAGAAAGCGAAGTGGTTCCACTGAAAGGAGCTGACCTCGATTCCGCAGCATAACATGCCGGATTCGAGCTCAGTCCCCTCGACGTGGCATCTCGGCAAGAGTAGTCACGTACGTGTCTATGTGTATGCATGTGTTTCCATGTGTGTGTGTTTGTGTGTGCTGAATATGACGAGGAGTCCTGCCCTCGTTCAACTTGGTCCCATAGAATGAGGTGATTAATGCAAGTAGTATGTAGCATATGCAGAAAAAAAGAGGGTTTATCCCAATCCAGTCGCTCGGACCTGCAGCGCCTCCGTCAGCCGATGAGCCCACGGGGAGGGAGGGGGTTGGGGTTGGGGTTGGGTAAAGCTCGTCTCCCCGTCGGCTCTGCACCCACCAGCGGGACTCGAGGCATGTAGGTGGAGTCGGCGGGGACGACGACAAGTCGAGGCTTTAGCAGGTTCGAGTCCCGTCGGAGGGGTTGACCAGACTCGGCCTCCCATTGCCTGTCTCACGGGGCTTACCTCTTCCTGCCCGATTGGCCAATTGTGCAGTTGGGCCAAAAGCAAACAAAGCCACACACATTCAGCCAGTTGGCTTGACGACTACAGAAGTTACTTCACACCAAGTTACGCGCTGTACACAGCCGGACAATATCGAGGCAAAAGTGATTGGCGCCAAAACAGGCAGATTGTGAGAGAGACGGACTACAAAAACCGACTGGCCAACAGAGAGAACACGAACAATTGGCGCAAAATGGGCGACGGCAACTGAAAGAATTGGCTCACATTGTCCAGCACACACCAACACAGATGACTGGAAAAGACAC